ATATATATATGCAAAATTGACATTTTTGTTTCATGCATGTACATTTTACATTTCCATAAATGGTACATTATATATTCTTAAATCTTTTATTAAGCATTATGACTTTCAGATCCATTGAAGTTGACCTGCGCACAGCTAACTCATTGCTTTTAACTGTTGTATGAAACCCCATGGTTGGTATTCACCATGTCTTTCCTATCTTCTGTCCCAGTGATGGATCCAAATGTTGCTTCCACTGTCCCACACTCCAAATAGCACTATTTCCTCCTTCATGCTTCCCTATGTACCTATGTGAGGATATCTGTGATATATATATATATGCACAATGGCTGATTAATCTGAATTTATTCTCCGGTCTACATACCTATCAGCACAGATTTTTCTTTTATCACTGTCAATCCTTTACATCCTCCAGTTTTCTACTTTGTAATCTAATATGTGTGGAGTGATAAATCTCATTTTTATCTTGAACTTATATGTTTTCTAAAGATTTTGACTATCTGTTCATATGCTGGGAGGTTTGGTGGCATAGTGCCTAAGGCATTTGACTGCTAACCAGAAGGGTGGCAGTTCAAATCCACCAGCCACTCCTCAAAAGACCGATGGAGCAATCTACTTTCGTAGAGATACTGCCTCGGAAACCCAAGGATGGGTCGCTGTGACTCCAATTGACTCCACAGCAGTGAGTTTAGTTTGGTTCATACGCTTGCTAGATGTTTGAATTGCATCTTATGTACAAGACTTTTCCTGCCATTTGCCCATGTTTTTATTGAGGTTGACATAGTTTTTGTTTTGATGCACGTGTGTGTATTGTATGTTCTAGATATTAGTTTATTGTGACTCTTAGTCCTTGTAATATTGTCTACCACTCCGTTATCCTTTCACTGACTTTGTCAACCAGGAAATTAACATCAAATGGTAATCAAATTTATGTTTTTTTTCTTCTAAAGTTAGGTTAAAAGGATCATTTTGCCTGCTGCTAGGTCAAGAATGTCCTTCTCTGTTGAAAAAGAGAAATGAATGTATGGATATAGATATTCTTTTCACATTTGGGACATATATCCAACAAGGTAGATGTATTGAAAAAGCTCACTTGTGGATGCTAATGTTCATTTGACACTGAAGACCTTTACAATGGAATATTCTAAGAATGCTTGGCTCCAGAAACCTGGCAGAGGGTCCTTTCTCCTGCAAGGTGATTATTACACTCTCTCAGCAAGGTGGTCATCACAGTCAGGTGAGTGAACTCAGGAAAGTTGCAATTCCTAGGTCCAGGTTCAGGCCTATTGAGTCAGAATTGTTGCTAGTGGGGACCAGGAATCTGTTTGTAACAAGCTGTCCCACTTGATTGTTTGAAGGGAAAGGGTTATCAAGGTCAAAGCTTCAGTCCTTGCATCCACCTATTTGACTTTTCCCTGAACTCACTGTGGCCTGGGGCAATTTCATACTTCCTCTCTTTGTATCCTTCAGACAATAGCAATTGGATTAATTGTGAAGCTAGTTAAAAAATACTTGTGTTAGCTCCATACAACCCCACTGGAGATATCCAAATTTGCCTCTGGAGACTTTTGCTGTATCTGGTATGATGTTGAGCCTCCTCTGAAGAAGAGGGCAAAGGCAGTGAGTTCTGATGAGGAACAAAAACTTGCAAAAAATTGCCTTGGGTTTAGTGGGCCTAGTGGGGTGGACTGGGCAACAGAGGAGGGTTTCTCATATGACAATCTGTTGAAGCTGTGTCTTCTAGTTCCCAAACCTACCCAGACTGTTGGTGCAGTAAGGAGCTCAGGAGCTGCGGGTGCTCATGTAGCATCCTGCAATTACTTCATCTAAACCTCCTCACACTTTCATGGAATTATGGATTTAATGGAACTACCTGTTTTTCCTGTTAGAATATATGTCCTTAAGGTAGGGAAAGTCCAGTTGTTCCCTAACCCAGAACATGCCACATAAACATATATTCAGAAAATAATTGTTTGAATTAATTTCTATGAATTTTCTATCAATTAACCTTCCAAGCATTTTTTACTTATCTTGACAATGCTCTTTTAAGCCTGGGCTGATGTTTTGTGGGTTTACAAAAAGCAATCCCAAGCACTCAATTCTATGAACAAGTATTTTGGTTTTTTCAAGAAAAAGATCTGAGAACAGATTACTTACTTCTACTGGAATGACTTGCTGGTTAAGGCGTTGGGCTTGGAGTTCAGTATGTGGATTCATTTGTGGGCTTGAGTTTCACTTCCAGTGTATAATGTTGCCCATTATCCAATTGAATTGGAAAAGTCCAGTTTTAATTCCAAGCAATTCGAATACTTCTGCTTGGTACCTGGATTATTTGACTATTTTTCTATTTTCTTTAACTCTGCATTGTACTCTATGGGGGGTGGGGAGGGAGGGAGAAAATGAAGAAAAGGGGAGGGTCCTCATAGTGTTTAATGGTACATGGTTGAATTTTTCTACCAAGGTCCTAGCCTGCCATAGATTTGGGTTAAAACCACCCCAAGTTCTTCTGTTTCTAAGTCTGTTATAACTTGTTTGTCAGGAGAAGCCCTTTGCTTTTGGACAAAACAAAGGATCAACTAGGACTGTGTGGCCTGCAAGCAGCGTCCCCACGACCCAACTCTTCACTAAGGCTCTAGAGAGTAGGGCCAAATAGTTGAATTCATCCCAAAATTTGAGGGAGACTTGTCAGAGCTATGCTGTGCACATAAAGGAGAACTGGGAAGTGGGGATGGGGGGAGAAATTGATTCAGCATCTGTTATTTGGTAAGAAGTAGACTGACCATCCATGCAGGGGTTTAACTGTTGGACTACTCTAGCTGTAGCACCTTGTGAAGTGCTTGGCATGTAGTAGGTGCCAAAAAATTTTTTTTGAATGAGTGATATATATAGATTAGTCTAGAAATATTCTGAGAGGCACAAAACAAGAATGAGATTTTAGACATTGTAATAATGTTCTCCTTGTATTCACAGATAACTCTATTTGAGGCTATTTCAAGTTTGTGTACAAGATGTGCTAACTAATTTAGCACTGGAATTCCCTGTATGTATTCAAGCAAATCTGTCTTTGAATCAAACAAATCAAACCTGTTGCTGTCGAGTTGATTTCAACTCAAAGAGACCCTATAGGACAGAGTAAAACTGTCCCAAAGGGTTTCCAAAGCTGTTATTTTTACAGAAGCAGATTGCTACACCTTTCTCCTGTGGAGTGCCTGGGGAGTTCGGTTAGCAGGTAAGTGCTTGACTACCATACCACCAGGGCTGCTTTTGAATCAAATAATTCCAGAGATTTGCCAATGTGTGTGTTTAGTGATTTTTGTAGTGGAAGACATGAATTATTCTCTCATCATCAGGTTCCATGGTGTAGTGGTTAGCACATCTGCCTTACACGCAGAAATCCTGGGTTCAAACCCCAGTGGAACCAAGAGACCTTTCTTCTACTTGGAGGAAAGAGGATATGTTTTTGTTGTGATTTATTTCTTTTGGTTTTTACTGTAGAGTGATAATGGAGAGACAGAAATGCTGATATTTTCATAGCTTTTCTTTAGGAGATTCACTTTTGTATACTGCTTAGCACTAGGGTTGCAGTGTTTGTCACAGAATACAGTCTTGGTATTTCTAGGAAGGACTAGGTTTCAATAAGGCCTGAGTGTCTCCATATACTAAATGCACTAGGTAGGTTTATCCAAAATTGCAAAACTGGAAGGAAGGTGCGAGGATCTGATTTAGGTCAAAAGCAGAAGTCTTAGGCCTCAGATTAGGAGGAATACCAAGGAAAGGTATGGGTGTGTAAGGATGGAGGCCAGCCTTTTGAGCAGTTTTTAAATTATTTCTGGAGAACTCACATTCTCTTGCTCAGAAAGTCAACCCTCCTAGCTCCTGGCAGGGAGTTCTCTTGAAGAAGACAGGCGATCTTTGGCTTGAAAGGCAGCTGATACATTTGATGCAGAGGTTCCATACTGAAAACAAGAGAAATCTAAGAAAATCTTTATCTTACACAGTGAGCCTTCCCAGGTCTCTTCACGCACCCCCCCGACATCCACTCACAATGGACAAGTTCCTTCCAAAAAGTCAGAGCTTCTGATCAACTTTCTAATCTTAACTATAAAATCTCATGGCCGTTGAGTCAATTCGACTCATAGTGACCCCTGTTTGGGTTTCCAAGGTGGTGTCTCTATGGAAATAGGTTGCCCAATCTTCCAAAAATCAAAATCAGTATATATCTTAAGAAAATATTAAAGAAAGGTACGAAGAAAAAGAGAGAGAGAGAGAGAGAGAAAGAGAGAGAGAGAGAGAGAGAGAGTGAGAAGCAACTTATAGAACAAAGTCTACATAAGTAGAACAATGTTAAGAATAAGCCAATATTTAATAGTTGAATAATATTACTTCTAAAAGTAAAGAATATAAAAAAATGAAAGGAAGATAAACTTAAAAAAAAATCAGGTATATTTCATAGCACTAAAGAAAATTAATTTCTGGATAGTCAAGAATCATTGAGTAGTCAGCAAAAGGGTAAAATTATACTATATCCCACTACTGAGAAGCGCACGACATATTTCAGACAGGAAAAAGCAAATCATAAAAAGAATCAGTAATCAGAATAACTGACTTCTCAGGATCAACACTAGAAGCTAGAAGACAATAGAGCAATGGCTTCAAATCTGATGGAAGATGAAACTCATCCTAGAATTCTATACCCCATTCAAGTATCCATGAAGTATGAGAGTAAATTAGAGACATTTTTCAATTTACATTGTTTAATAAAATTTACTTTCCATGACCCCTTTCTCAGAATATATTGGAGGATATTCTCCACTGAAATGAAAAAGTAACTTAACAAATACAGATACAGGTACAGATACTATGAGATGCAAAGGCATTATAGGAGAGAAGTGGAGAGATACTCCAGGATGACAGGGATGCCATGTATATGCAGCATAGAGGGAAACTAGACCAGATAGGAAGAGTCTGTATATGTCTGGGGAAGAATTCTTCAAAGAGATGAAACTGAGGGAAGCCTGGCACTGGCTAAAAACCTTGAGAGGAGATTTAAATAATTGGTGGGTGGTTTTGGGGTTGAAATAATAAGCCCTATAGAAAATTATAAAAAGGAACTCTGGTGGCATAGTGGATAAGGCACTTGACTGCTAACAGGAAAGTCATCAGTTCAAACCCACCAGCTGCTCCACAGAAGGAAGATGAGGCAATTTACTTCCGTAAAGATTTACAGCCTCAGAAACCCAATGGGTGTCACTATGAGTCAGAAATGATTCGATGGCAGTGAGTTTACAGAAAATTATGCAAATCAAAATATGATTATTTATTCCATGTGGGGAGTTTATTAGGATCATTTAATATTATAAAATACACATAAGAATTGAAAAGGAAGAGCTGAGGCATCATTATTAGCAGATGTTACGATATCTGCAGACAAAGCTTTGGAAAAATCAACAAGTGTTTAAAATTAATGGGTGAATTTAGCACATTTGTTAGATAATTATCATAATTTTAATTCACAAACATATAGTAGATAAATTCTAAAAATGATACCTAATAATTAATCTGATAAATGATTATTGATAGATATAAAAATTATTTATATACAGAGATCTATTAATAATCAATTATTTGATTGAACTTTGATTGAGCTTTTTGTTAATGTAAACAAAAGTTCAATCAAATAAAAATAAAAATTCTCTCTAAAATTTTAAACATACACACACACACACTGAAATTTCAATAAAAATCTCAATAGATTTTAACACTTGGAAGAACAAAAGAACTTTGTTGTTGTTATGTGCCGTCACGTTGGACCCGACTTCTAGTGAACCCTCCTTGGGTTTCCAAGGTGGAATCACTACGGAAGTAGATTGCCCAATCTTCCTTCCGGGGAGTGGCTGGTGGGTTTGAACCACCAGCCTTCTGGTTAGCAGTCAAGTGCCTTAGGCGCATTGGAGAGAGGAAATAGAAAACAAAAATAACAACAACAACAAAACCCATAGAACCAGAAGAACTAGATGGTGCCTAACTACCACTGTCAACCACTTGAAAAGGGATCAGTGCAGGTGATCCTGGATAGAGTAGGAGAACAATGTGGAACAAAACTCAAAATCATAAAAAAGACCAGGTTTACTGGTCTAATAGAGCTTGGTGAGATCCCGGAGACTCCTAGCTACGGCCCCTAGTTACCCTTCAGGTCTGGAATTGAACTTCCTCTAGTGGCTTCTAGCCAAACAATAGACAGGCATATGAGGTGAACATTTACATCAGGCAGATACACTCTGTGGAGTGATCAATAGTGGGAGAAAAGAAGGGCAGTGCTTGCACAGGAAGACAGCTGGGGAGGGGGCAGAAATGTATAGGAAAGAAGGACACAGGGAGAGATAACTACAGGGAAGAAGTGGGAAGAGAGCTGTTATGTTGTGGGGAATTGCACTCAATGTGAAGAAACAAAGTGCGTATGAACTGCTGTATGGAAAATGAATTTGCTCTGTAAACTTTCACCCAAATCACAACTAAAAACAACAACAACAACAACAAAACCGGTCATAGACATTCACTGGCTGACTGGGGCGAGTGATTAATACTTGTCTTTTCTGTGTTCAGATTAAAACACAAGTCATTCAGTTTTGCAAGGGCTTTTCGAAGACTTCACAGCACCGTGTACCGGGTTGAAAACAAAAGGAAAGAGTTAGGGGCGAAATCTAAACACTGCCGTGACTCGGATTCGAACCGAGGTTGCTGCGGCCACAACGCAGAGTACTAACCACTATACGATCACGGCACGCTACCCGAAACTGCGAGACGTAGAGCTATTCTTTTCTTATTTCTCAGGCACATCTATTTTGTTGTCCAAAGATCTATGCTTTTGTCTTCCTCCCTTAGTTATCTTTGGATTGCCTACAGTTTAGTCCCTCATCTTCTTTTAAAAACTGGAGCTCTGGTAAACAAACCAAAGAGAACAAAAATAAAGTTTCACTTAAATGGAATTTTCTGAGACCAGTGGACCCTGTAGGGGCTGTAGCACTTGCATACCCACAACTCTCACTGCCACCCGCGAAGCGCGCATGTCTCTTGTCTACTTTTATAAAGTGTGGTCCTCACATCTCTGGCAACGGAATGGAGAGGGCACTGCTTCGATTTGAGGCCCCATTTTAGGCCAAACTGGTCCGCACCTCCATGCTTGGCGTGGAAGGTGGCATTTTAATAGGCGCCAGAAGTGAATCTTTGGTTCCCTTCAAGTCTACGGCTCGGTGCTGACTCACTTATCTGTGAGGAGCTGCCAAGGCGCGCTCAGGAATCAGCCCTCCCTCTTTAAGCTCTGAGAAATTGCTCGGTGTTTTGAGAGGGTTTAATGTCGTTGAAACTTCATCCTCTCTGCCTCCCTAAATTGTCAGAAGGGAGATGTGAGAATGTGCTTCTTTTGTGGCCCCAGAACTGTGTGAGACGCCTCCATCCCTACCGCCTGCTTGCCTTTATGGAAACACGCCTTCTAGTCAGGGTTCTTCTACGTGCACGCTTTATCTGGTTAAATTTGATTCATGCTTCACTTCTGGCCCTTAGCTTCAATTCATCAGGGAAATGTTTTCTGACTTCTCCACACAGCCTCCTTCCCATTCTAGATTAAAACGTCTGTGTTTTCTCTGTTCTTGATCCTTTTTTCTTTCCATTACAAGGAATGGAGCTCTGGTGGTATAGTGCCTATGTTGTTTGACTGTTAACCAGAAAGTTGGTGGTTTAAACTCACCAGCCACTCTGTGAAGGAGGAGTAGGTAATCTATTTCCCTAGAAATTTACCGCCTAGCAAACCCAAAGAGCGTCTCTATCTACTCGATGAAAGTGAGTTTGTTTTATGATGGATTAATTATTGTGCTTATTTAATTAATGTCAGGGCCTTCCTTCTACCTCTTAGTATGCTTCAAGATGAGGTATCAGTTTTGCTCAATAGCCTATCACCAGGGCTTCACATTTAGTAGACCCTGCCTAAGGCATTTGACCGCTAACCAGAAGGCTGACCGTTCAAACCCACTAGCCACTCCTCGGAAAGAGCGTGCAATCTACTTCCGTAGTGATATCACCTTGGAAACCCAAGGAGGGGTCGCTATGAGTCGTATCTGACGCAACAGTGAGTTTGGTTTGGTTTGGTTCAAGTCCCTAGGTGGGATAAACTGCTTATGCTTGACTACTAGCCTACAGATTGGCAGTTAGAATCTACCCAGTGGTGTAAATATTACACCCAAGAAAATCCCGTGGAGCAGTTTTACTCTCCATGGGATCAACATGAGTCAGAACTCTTGACAACTGATTTTTTTTTTTTGTTGTTGTTTATAAATACTATTTGGCTGCAGAATGAATGACTGGGCAGGAAATCAACTTCTCTGGACAGCAGTTTCTCTGGCTAGGCACTGCAGGTATGGGTTTATT